AATAGAGGAAGAACTTTAGATGTCTTGAAGCTTTCAATGAATAACCCACTAGATAGTGAAAGATTAAATATATATGTCAGGATGTCAATGATATGTTCTGGAACGTGTTTCAATACTTTGAATGGAATACCATCAATTCCAAAACTTGACTTGGGCTTCATTTCGCGTATAATATTTTTTATTTCTAATGATGTAGTTGGCCTTAAAAACATGGATGAGGATTCTTGCTTTCCAAGATATGAAATGTAATTTTTGTCACAGCCAGCTGGTTGTGGCATACAGTCGAGCAGGCTTGTGCCACTTGGGAAAAGTGTTCATTAAATTTAATTTGCAATTTGTGTATTACTGCAATCGAGTCCAATCAAAGGACAGGAACCTGTTTTATTTTTACCAATAAGTTCATTAATTGTTTTCCACACTGCCTTGATGTTGCCTTTGTGAGAGGCCAAATTTAGATTTGTAATAATTTGATTTCTTTTTGTAGAGCAATCGAGTATAAAAGTTCCTGCATTCATTGAACTGTAATTTGTGCTTGTCATTTATGTTTTTATTGTTTATTAATTTCTTATAAAGTTTTTGTTTGACTTTGTTGAGTTTGCGTAACTCAGTATCATACCAAGGTTTGTTTGATCTGTTTGTTTTGTTTTTTGTAAGGAAAAGATTGAGAGTAAGCAAGTAGAGAATTTTTTCAAAAAAATTTTCAAAGCAAGTTTTGGGATCCTGGATGCTGCTGAAGTCATCAATATCAATAGAATTCAGTTCGTTCATCAAAGTATTCAAGTTGGACGAAGTAAACTGGCGGTAAAGCGTTTCAATTCTGTTCTGAATTTGCTTTTCTAGAAGAGCATTGTACAATTGGCAGATGATCAGAAACACATTCTGCTAAACAGCACTATTAACTTTTTATCATATACGTTTGTCCAGATGTGGTCTATACAGGTAGCAGAACTTGAAGTTATCCTGGTGGGGCAGTTTATCAGAGAATAATAGGCCAGGTTGTGCATAATATCAACAAATAGGCTGGTATTCATATTGGACTCATCAATAAGATTATAGTTGAAGTCACCCATTATATAATTATAATTCAACTTGTTCGTCTTTGAGAGAACTTGGGACAAGAGATTCCGAAAGTTAGCATTGTTCAATTCATCAGTTAGTGGTGATCTATAAATAGTACCGCAGGTTATTGTTTTATTTTCCAATAATATGTCAATAAATATAGATTCGAAAACCTTTTCACACATTATAGTAATATCCTTGCGGACAATGTATTTCAAATCATTTCGAATGTAGAGACCAACACCACCACCTCGGTGATGAGATCTACTATTAATGATAAAAACATAGCCATCCAATGTATTGAAATGGCCATTTGTACCAGATACGATCCATGTTTCATTTACAGCAATTACATGAGGCTTACAATTCAGTGAATTCACTAGTGCTTCAAATTTTGTGTAGTTTTTGAAAGAGGCTAAAGATCTGATATTGATTGAAAGAGTCATGAAACCACATAGTTTAAAACTATCCTTGAATTTGAGGTCATTGACATCACAAATATACTGAGCAAATATACTGATTTGAGCTGTTGTACATGAAAACACTGTTTATGTTGTTGAATTCATCATTGTCAGTATTGGCTGACTCAAGAAACATTTGGTTTAGGTATTCAGGATCAAGAATTTTAGTAAGTGCCTGGGCTTCAGCTTTTTCTGAATGAAGGGAAGTACATAATTCTAATAATTCAGAATCAGAGAGAGAAGAGAATGGTATGCAATCTTTTTCACAAAAGAAACAGCACCAAGGCATATCATCAGATTCAGATTGCAGGTTTTCATACTGCTGGTTAGAGATATTGGTGCATTTTAAATGTGAGCAAATGTTGCAAAAAATAGCTTTCTGATTAGTTCGGACTGATTTGTGGCAATTTCTACAGGGATATTTTAAATTATGTTTCATGGTGGTGGCAAAGTAAAGAAATAAAAAAATAAAATAAAAAAAGTATAGTGAAGTAAGACAAAATCTAAAATACAAAGCTTGAATACAAAGTTTCCAGGTGCAGAACTTATGGTTAAATAAGTACTAGCCTAATTAGCATAAGGAAAAAAAGGGTGAAAATAAATTGAGTTAAATTAAATTATCCCCCTGTGCTAAAGGCCACCACTATACCAATGAGACCAAGTTGCAAACAGTGTGCCTATTTGCTAGGTCCCATTGGGCGAGCAGCAGCCCTGGAGTACAGGGGACGAGAGAGAGTAGTGATATCATTTAAACAAGATATAACTCGCCTTCTGTCCAAGTAAGGGTATATAGTCCCATTCATTGTCGACACCTTATGCTTCCCGAATGCTTCCTTGGCAGCGGCGAGGAGCTTGAGCCTATTCCTGCTCAAGGACTCCGTGATGGACAAACCGCTGCCTTTTAGATCTTTCTTCCTACCATATATTAAATTTTTTGTCGATCTTCGGACAAATTTAATAATGATGGGGTTCTTCGGGGACTTGGATCGCAATTTATGGGTTATATCAATATTCGTGTTAACAATAGGCTGGTCAAGATTGAAGTTATTGTTCAGGGTGTTAACAACAAAGTCTTCAAACTTGTAGTACTCAGATTCTGGGACCAATTTGCAGCCATGAAGAACAACACAGTTCCTCCGGCTGTACTGTTCCTGATCATCTTGCTGTTTTTCACATAACTCCAGTCTTTTTATAATCTCCTCGATCTTAAGAGAGATTTGAGCCACATCATGCTGGAACTTCTTAACAGCTTCAGACTTTCTGCCATGGTCTTCAGTGGCAGACAGTTCATCTGAGCGTTGCATGAGCGCTTTTTGGTTGGCCTGGAGGAATGTAACAGCAGCCAGAATCTGGTTATGAACTTCGGTATTCATATTGATTTTCCGTGGAGTTTCGAGTTGAACAGCAGAATCCAATGTAATATTATAATTAGAAAGGTATATTCCGTTTGTTGATATAATCGAAGGTAGCAGGCTTTAGTACTTAAGTTAACCAAAGATTAAACTATCATCTTAAACGGGGAATAATCTTTTAAACGGGGAATATAGTAGTATAAGTCTGCTGAATAGTCAAGAAGAGTCATTAAATTAATCATAAACATTTCATGCAAGCCAGAAAATATCGTTGTTTGTGACATATTATTCTAGGTCTAGCCTTCCTTGGAGTTACCGCACCGTACCTATTAACAACGTCTTATGAGCTAGTGCTCAACTAAAATTGCTATTTATGGTAAAGATATACAAGTGTTTAATATCTTACTTATACTTTTCAACACCTCCTTAGAATATCTGAACTAATAATAACTGAAAAAAACTACGGAAAGGCTACTTAACGTAAAAGCGAGCAGTAGTAGTACATCTGATATTCATCCGACCACTGGGGATCCACCTACAGCTGACTAATTTGATTGTTACGTCATGCAGAAGTCTGCGTTCATTGGCCCATGATACCGGAAAAGCAGAGAAAATAGGACAGATGGTAACACATATTTATTGTAGTAAAAGCGTCTTTTCTGTAAAACGTGCAACTTTTGGAAGTGGGAACAAGGCAATATTTGTTACTAAATTTCTAAGGAACATTTTAATATCATTTTCAGGTAGTTACCTTATGTGCGCTACGAAACTGAAAGATGAATGGCCTCGGCTCGCGGCCTATAAGTGTCATCGCCGAATCGGCTGATCTCGCTCATTCCGTTTTGTTGCTCACCACTGGAGGCGCTGGTGGTTCACGAGTTCAGTGACTCCCATCCCCATAAAATGGTTTCGCCAACGCTTTACTACTACCACCGGGTGCACGACGTTCCTTAAACCTCGGCTTCCTTTTCCCCCATATCCTATCCTAAATTGCACATTATTGAGTAGATATATATGTTTTTATACAGACACGATAGTTCGGAATTCCTGCCTCATTTGTGCAGACATGTATGTCACGGGATAAGAAAGCGTAATCCGCTACCGCCTTACCATATTACCAATGAACAATGGCAAAGTCTGACTAAATTCCGGGGGCGGGCGACAAATTTTTATTTAATGCTGAGCTTACGGTCCGGACAAGGCCATGTATAATCAGCCATAATCCAGGATGTTGAAAGCCTCCTTGTTGAGTATTTGCCGATTTTTATCATTGCTTCCATTCAAGCAATAATAATAATTAAGTACCAAAACCATCCTGTACATATTACTGTCTACATCCACACATAAATGCAAGCTAAATTCAATATTTATTTAATGCAATATATTAATAGATACGTTTATTTTTTAAATCATATGCTACCTCACTGAAAATCAAAGTTGTCATAACATACAAAGATACAAAATATGGGTAGACAAAGTGGAAATGCAGTATTCTTACATTTTAGTAATACATGGTGTCCATTCGTTTAGTTTTTATCATTCATTTGCTAACTCACTGAAAACCAAAGTTGTCATAACATGCAAAGATACAAATTATGGTTAGACAAAGTGAAAATGTTGTATTCTTACACTTTTAGTAATACAGGGTGTCCCAAAATAACTGAAGCCCCCAAAAATGCTAATGAATATGTTCAAATTTATGAAACTTTGAATAAATGTAGCAGGAAATTGATAGCAACGTCTGAGGATAATAATAATACTCCTGTAATATGTATACCAGGTCGTGGTTAGGCCATAATTTTATTCCAATTGAATTTTGAGTTCAAGGCCTGAAGAGAATGTGGCAGCCCTAAGTTTCTATTGACCTCAGCCAAATTAAAATTCGACGATGGAGTAGTGTGCTTAGCATTCAGTGGTCCTCGCTGCATATAATCCTTACTCAAGACTCTCATCTGTATCCTTATTTTAGATTGAGCGTAAACTCACATCAACTGATATGCAGAAACATGTTGAGAGAGGTCGTATAGAAGATTTAGTCTCTATCTAAGTTTTCTTATTACCAAGACAGGGTGTTTTAAAATAATATTTATTTTTGCTTCTTCTAATTTTCATGCCACAGGTTTTAAAATTATAATTGTTAATTATAACTGCTATCAAATATGAAACATATAAAATATAGGGTTAAAACTCACATATTCATTAGCAATTTTGTGGGTTTCATATATTTCAGGACACCCTGTATTACCATGGCTTAATTTATCGTGTTTGAGAATTTTTATGACAAAACTTTACAGTTCTTTGATAGCACATGTCTTGAGTAGATGACCTAAAATGAAACCTGTCTCCAAATAGCAGCCCAATATTCTCTTCGAAGAAGGTCATTCAAATGGCAAGTTGGACCATATAACCACTCCTGCAGCTAACTGAAAACATCTGGCTTACCAATGGGTGCTCCCGTAATATGTGCACCAAGATGGCGAACAACCTTAACCCTAACCTGGTACACATCTATGTGTTGTGCGCCATCTTCGTGCACATACTTCGGGAGCTCCCACCAATCAGTGTTCGCAATAGCAGTTTTTATTTGAAGCGCTTTGAAATTTAAAAAGTGGGGTTAGTATTGAAGTTCAAAAAAATCCCCTCAAAATATAGTAATAGCATTCATTTGAGAGAAACAAAGTTTTGTTTAAAAAGATCTTTCTGAATAGGACACACATATTAGAGAGGGATGACTTTCGTTAGTTAAGGATAGACAATTAGAAATGGAAATGCCCTTTTTGTTAAAATATTGCCTTATTTAAAATTAGATGGAAAACGGATAGCGCTAATGGAAGAAGGATAGACATTTTGGTACGGAAAGTAAAAGTTAGGTAGAAAAAGGTAGGGTAACGAGCTTTTTCCAGAATGACGGTATAGATCCTTGTGGAGGCCTCCTTAAAAAAAAGATAGACATAAATGTCCCACTCAAGATTGACTTATTTACGTAATTTAAAATTGGATGGCTTTTAGGCAAACGAATAGTGCTAATAGAAGAAGGATAGACATTATGGTAGAGTAGGTTTTTAACAAGCATCAGCCTTATGTGAATGATTAAAGCCTATTTGATCCCCCTGGATAACATTTTTCAGAATGATTGTATAGCTCATTGAGGAGGCCTTCATAGAAACAAGATAGAAATTTAAGAAAGACTAGGTCATAGTCAATTTAAGGAGTTCCTCCCACAGGGTGGGATTGGCACTACAACACGAAATATTTTTAGGCAAACCCACTCTTAGGTAGATGCGCATGCGAAAAGCAAAAAATAAGACGAAAAATTACATTGAGAAACTATTAAGGGTGAATATACACAAATGATTTTTGTCATATGAAATTTCATTAAACTGCTGGTCAAACATTGCTTCCTCCACATATTCACCAGAGTTCATGTTCTGAAGAAAAATCGGCACTCCCGTAGTGTGTGTACCAGGTTAGGCCATAATTTTATTCCGATTTTCCTTATTTTAGTTCTATAACGAGTTCGGGGACTGTCTGTGTTAGCCATGTGAATATATCCCCTGTCCATAGGTTTCAGTCCCTTTACGCAACTTGATGTAAAAAGGCGAACAAAATTAGTTACCTCCATATTGGTACACACACTTCTGGAGTGACGAAAAATCTGCTCAATTATTGGCACACCCAAAGTCGACTGGTAACTAGAGGAGAGACTGCGGAAAGCCATCTTATCTCTTACCTTTCAGACTTTCGTTGAATATAATTAGTAATGCCCAGTGAGCACCTTAAGTGTTGGTTGGACCCTGTGAACAAAACATGAAGACAATTCAGCAAGACAGAAGAAAATTTGTCACACATTATAGGTGAACCAAACAGAATAGGGGGTTGGAGTCATTCACTCTGGTCACCCTTAAACAAAGACCAGAGTGGGCCGGATGAAACACTTCGATGAGTCGGATCCGGCCCACGGGCCATAATTTGCCCACCCATGTTCTTACACAATGTTCGTAGAATAATTTAAAAAGAATTCCAGGCCAGGCAGACATTGTTTATAGAAAGTTTTTCATCAATCCAATTCCAGTTTTGAAGCGGAGAGATATTCTCGGGTCGGTAAACATTAAGTGTTGAACTATTTTTATTTATTTTTGGGAACCAATGCTCTAAGTCAGTGGTTCCCAACCTTTCTACCCTGGCGGACCGGTAAAATTGAATTAAATGTACTCGCGGACCGGCAAATAATTGAAAAGACCGGAACAGAAAAGAATAACATATATTTGCGTAATATAATGCAATGTCGGGCACTCAGTATGCTTTTAGATGAAAAAAGGCACACTTAAAAATATCATATAATGTGCCGGCCAAAAATTGAAATGGGTAAAACATGAATATATTTGCGTAATGAAATGCAGCGCTGGGCACCCATTATGAATGTAAGAAAGGCACACATACAACATCTCACATGAAAAACATGTAAATGCCACTGCAGTTGATCGACGCATCAAACGAATTGAATTTACATCACAATGACAAAGTCGTCGGTAACTTGGCACCAGGCTCAAAATCCAACTGTGCCTGCTCAAAATACTGGAAAAGATCTCAGCGGCCCGTGCTTTTTTGCGCGTCTTGTGACCACCTGCAGGGTCGGAACAAGTAGGCCTACATATCTTACTGGAATATTATACTGTTTTTAACTGTTTTCGGGTTTAAACAAAGAAATATGCATAACGTTTTATAAGGATGGTAATGTTAATTAGGAAAAGCATGCTGAACAGAAAAAGTACGCGTGCCGATTTTTAGGTTTCTGAATCTTGCGAGATTTGATGCCGCGCATTCGCGATGAATCGGAGCCAAAAAAGCGAAAAGTGTGATTAGCCTACTCGGCGCCAAGATGTCGTGAAAGAAGTCGCCAATATGACGGCGGAAGAGAAATTGCGTAATAAACTAACGTAAACTCGTCTTCGGTAAAGCGATTGAGACGGCATAAAAACAACGAAATTTCTCGCGGACCAGCAAAAATACTTTGCGGACCGGCACCGGTCCGCGGACCGGCGGTTGGGAACCACTGCTCTAAGTCAGTGGTCACCAAAGTGTGGGTCGCGACCCCACGTGGGGTCGTCTTAAATATTTCTGGGGGCGCCGAGTGCCCATCGTTGTCTTTTCTTTTATTATGTGTGTGACTTCTCGGCTTAACGCTAGATATTTCAAACAAAAGAATGAATAACAAGCACGCAGACAGGTGATATCAAGAGCAATTACGATCAATTATGACATCATAATCACAAATTTAGTTCGTGTGAAAAACAGCGTTCTATGACACAAATACACAACAGCGTGTAGTCTGCACTGTTAAGTTGAATAACGCTACATAGGCTAGCAGGTTTCGATATTTCAAATTGGAGTGACTTCTTTTATAATAAGGCTATTGCGTAACGACAGTAATTTATATTTTAAAGTAAATCGTTATTGTGTCGTTAAATGTACTGTACAGTGGCCGTTGCTTTTACTGCAAAGCCTCATTTTCCAGGCTACCGTCATATTGATAATTACAATTTATTAAATGGCTGATAAACATAAAAGAAAAATATCGTATGATCAATCTTTTTGAAAGCTTGACTTTTAGTGCTATGAGTCTGTTAAAATCAAAGCACCGAGCCGGAAGCAAACCCGAAATTTCAAATTTTATTTAGGAGTTCTTGAATTGTCATTGCAAGAGTTTAGTACAATATGTGGCCACGGCCGAAACGCCTCATTTGAAAAAAAGTCAGCGATAGAGAGGCCCGACCCCACCCGAAAATTTGAGGGCTCGGGCTTCAGATCTTAGCTCTATCATCGGGCCACCAGTTTACCTCAAGTACGAGGTCAGTTAGCCAGTTATTTAATCCAGATACATGGACTTGATGGTGGAGGAAATTCGAAATGCACAATATAACGAGCCAGTGAATTATTTGTGAAACAACAAAATAATGTACATTTTTATGACAAAATGGAAGATGGGTCTATCAAAAATAGGAATTAAAATGTGTGATCAATAATGGTGAAGAATATAGAAAGTGAATTGTCAAAAAGTGAAAAGAACTAGCAACGGAAAACACAGCAAAGAAAACGAGTATGGCGGTCATGACATCAAACTTAATGAAAGCTTCAAAACAAATACTAACCACACAGTGGGGAAAAAAATTTCTCTCACAAAAGTGAACGAAGTGTCCATAGAAGCAATAACGGCAATAATAAAGTTTAACAAAGGTAGTATCAAAATGTGGCAAAAAGGCCGTAATTTGAATACGACAAACCATAAGTTACAATAGATAAATTTAAGTTCCATTAGATAATGCCATATTTCAATACCCACTTTCTTTCCACATTTCGACATTACTTTAAAATAAGTTTCAAGCGAATTTTTCAAATACAAAGCAGCATTAAATAAAGTAATCGGTTTAATCGCTAAGGAACAATGCGTTTTGATTTTATTTTTATAAATTTATTGTGGGGCTCTGTAAATATAGTCAACCTTTTCACGAGCTCCATAACACCAAAAGTTTGAGAACCCTAGCATTAGGGCAAAAATACCTGAACAATTCATCAGAATAATGGGCACCTACGCTATTAAAAATATTTCATATGAAGAAAAATTTAGTGTAATCCATAGGTTAATTGAACTTGACCTTTTAAAATTCCAAATTTGCTTAATAATGTTGAAGTGGTGAAATATTTTTAACAACTGCACAGGACAAGTACAAAAAGGAAGATTCTGTACCAGGGGCAATCACTTTGCTGAGTGGGTGAGTTACAGACTCATAACTCAGTATGAAAAACAGTTCATTAACAGCCGAGTGGCACATCATATACAGGTGCAGATAATACGTGAATTACGGTTTATTCGTCATTTTCATTGAAATTTCAACGGGAATTAATATCCATAAAGACTATAGTCATAATTTCTACAGGCACAAGTGGGCCGGATGAAAAACTTCGTTGAGATGGATCTGGCCCACGGGCCGTAATTTGCCAACCGATGTGCTATACCATACACAATGATTTTAAAAAATTCAAACAGCATAATAGGCCAAACAGACATTGTTTATAGAAATTTTTAAACAATTCAATTAAAATCACATGAAACATTTATTAAAGATTAGAACAAAAGGGCTCACTTTTGTAACACTATACGATTGTTATTCAAAAATCACCGAAACACAAGAGTGGTTTTCATAACACAGAACTTGATCAAAGATGGGCCGAGCATAACGAAGCCCTAAATGAAGAAAATTTTACCAAATAAGAATCATGTAATAAAATTTACATCGCATGATACCCGTATATAAGATATATAGCCACCTGAGGTCACCAAACCAAGGCACCTGTTCTGAATTAAAATATCAAAAAGAGAATTCCAATTTTATAATGACGTACCAAATGAGACAGACCCCAGCAAAGAAGTGTAATTGACGTAGTAAAACAAATATCAGTGTAATATTTCCCAATACGGGAAAAAAAAGTTTCGAATACGAACCAAAAGTTTAGGACTCCTGCATTAGAGCAAAAATACTTGAACAATTCATCAGAATAATAGGCACCTATGCTATTAAAAAAATTTCATAACAAGAAAAATTTACTGTAATTTATAGGTTAATTGAACTTGATCTAATACCTTTTGAGAATTGTAAATTCCAAATTAGCTTGATAATGTTAAATCTAATATTTTTACAAAAAGGAAATTCTATTCGGGGGTCACCAAACTTTTTTAAGCAGCGGGCTACTTTCTGGGTACCAATTCAGCTGAGAGTACGCTTCTAAAAAACCAATTCGATATTAATGGTATTTAGCCATAGAGACACTGATAATTTGAAATATTCAAGAAATTATCCACTAAGCAGTTGTGCTATCAAATGTTATATTTTACAAACACATTTAACAAATCATGACGATCATATTCACAACCTGGCCAAATCTAGACAGAAGCCTACATGGGAAACCTGGTATTGCATTATCTCCAACTGCGTTTTATGCTCTGCTTTGTAACTAGACACTACAACTCTGAGTGAGTCTTGCAGATGTTCATGGGTGAGGCATGTTCAGTGTTTGTTCTTGATGAGGTTCATGTCTTAAAAAGCTAATTCACAAAGATAGGTTGAACCAAACAAGCTTAGGACCTTCAAAGCCTCTGTTCATTCACCATGGCACTTTCTGTATCAACTAGGATCCTAAAGTTTTACAAGCCCTGATTGGCTTTGAGGAGGAGCTCATTTAGAAGTGTTGCAATTTCAAGCTCCATCTGTAAAGCATCAAGGCTTAACATTGTGTGTGTGATGTCATAATTGGAACAGTATTAAATGACCTGTGACATTCTGGAGATTACATATAGAAAATATGGAACGTTACAATAATTAGCATATTGTCATTTCCATTTCTCATATAAGGTTTCAACAAGAATAAAATTAATAGTTGTAGCTTAATGATAAGCGCCGTTATTTGAAATAAATTCAGAACAGACATTAGGGGGACTTAGTGCCCCCAACAACAGGTTGGTGGCCTCTGTTCTATACAATACCCAATGTTCTTAGAAAAATGTAAAAAGCATAATAAAAGGCCAGACAGACATTGTTTATAGAAAGCTTTTAATCAATTCAACCCCAATCATGTGAAACATTTATTAAAAATTATAACAAAAGGGATCTTTTGTAACACTATACGATTGGTATTTAAGAATCACCAAAACACAAGAGTGGTTTCCATAACACAGAAATCAGAACTTGATTAAAGATAGGCCGGGCACGACAAAGTCCTAAATATAGGGAATTTTATCAACTAAGAATAATGTAATGAAACTTACAATGCATGGTACACATATGTAAGATATGTAGCCACCTGAGGTCACCAAACAAAAGTACCTGAAATGTAAAAATATCAAAAAGAGAATTCCAATTCTATAATGACGTACCAAATGAGACAGACCCCAGCAAAGGAGTGTAATCTACACAATAAAACGAATATCACTGTATTATTTCACAACACTGAGAAAAAAGTTTCGGTTGAGGACTGGCGGTCATAAATGGTATTTATTTCACAACACTGGGAAACGATATTTGTGAACAGTATAGACTGAAGACAGAATGATGGAACCAATAGATTTAAAAGAAAATACGAAAATAACAGGAAAAACTAAAATTGATGGGCTATATGAAGGAACAAAGACAGATGAAATTGTGGAAGACAGTAAAGTTCTTATCAAGGTCAATTGCTATATTGAAGAAAGAGATAAAAGAGAAGCATGCAATTTAGACAAACTAGTTTGTACCAATGTAGCTACGGTAGCTACTCGTCTACTCTCTGGTTTCTTTGAGAACGATCAAATTCACAATGGTGAAAAATGTATATATACAGTCATGCCATACTACAGTGATAAAACACTCAATGATGTTGACCTTTCTACATTAGGTGAGGAAAATGTAAAAGATATTTTGAAACAATTGACAGATGGATTGAGTTTCATTCACGACAAAAAAATAATTCATAGAGATCTCAGACCTGTGAATGTGTTCTACATGAAGGATAACGAAAAGACCACAGTTGTAATTTATGGATTCGGACTCAGCAAGGAAATCCTGCATGCGCCGCTACATAATAGCAGTTTCACACAAGATAAAACCACAGATTACAGTTCACCAGAGATGCAACTAGGCTCTGGATTGGATGTCACTGAATCTACAGATGTTTTCTCACTTGGAGGGATTTTTTATTTCATTCTATCCAAAGGAAAACATGCTTTTGGGAATGAGGTGAGTTCCAGATCCCATAATATCGCGAACGATAAGCCAGATTTAACCAAATTGAAATGCAGTGAAGCTGAAATTGCAGAAAATCTCATTCGAAGAATGATAAATAACAAAGCAAGTCAAAGACCAACAATGGAAATAGTGAAAAATCATCCCTTCTTCTGGAGCAACACAAAAAAGCTTAATTTTTACACAAAGTTATATAAAGCGACAGAAAAATTGCCTAATAAAGATGGCATAAAAGGCGAATTGCATCACATCAACCCAATGTCTGGAGCTGTAAGCATTAATAATGAGAAGAATTTCAAAAACAATTGGTGTGAGGAATTGCAACTGTCCACCGATGAATGCAATCTGTACGGCATACCAGAGGACCAAGCTGGTTGCATGAAAGGCCTCCTGAATTATGGGGGATCAAATAGCTACGATGGCAATTCCACATACTCATTACTCCGTTTTATCAGACACAGAATAATTCACACAGATAATGCTTTGGTGAAAATAATTTCGGCGAATGACAAATACTTGTGGGATTTTGTTGTAAAAAGATTCCCCAAACTCCTTTCCATTTTGATCGAAAGAGTTACAAAGTCCCAGGATAAAAACGTTGACGATATAAAACAATTTTATTGTTTGTGAAGCTATCAATTTACAATGATTTTATTGAATATAATTTAGGTTTTAGGGATGTAGCTATGTAATCCCTTATAGTAATAATAATATCTTTTTAGTCTTTAATCATTTTCAAACAGTCCCTTATTTGGGAATTCAGCTTTGACATTGATTCTAATTTCAATATATTGAGTTTCATATTCTGTTTATAGCTTTATCAATGTGTTGCATTTGTTCAAACTTTATATTTACTATACCGTTGCTCCAAACCTTTCCCTTGTGTTAACCAGAAATGTGCAACCTAGCAACTCAACTATTTTTATCTAATTCATGTACCAGTTTTGATAATTTTCAAAGAGATTTTAAGCTGGTTATTGAGCCTCTAGCTTAAGAAATGACCCAGGAAGAACATAATTAGTTTGTTGAACTATATCTCTTAAAGTTAGGTAAAAACTGATGTAGGGGTTGCACATTTATAAAAGTGAAATATCTTTATTGAAGTGAAATATTTTTAACTGTTAGTCTAATAAGTGTAAAATGTAACATATTTTCTTCTTTGTTTTATTATACAGTTGAAAAAAACAAAACATAATGACCAATGTTAATTTGTGCACCTACCGAATTAGAATTGGCATGTTCCGGGGTGGGATGAGGTCAAAGGCAAATGCTTCTTCCTCCTTCATTCTCCAATTACTTCCTCATTCATCACGAATGGCGCTGGCAATAAGAATCGTCTTTTTTGCTCTGCTTGCTATGCACGGGATTGAAAAAAATCCTGGGCCGAGATCTCCTGAAAGAAAAGCAGAAGATAATAATTTGACACCACGTGACCAAGGTTTGTTTATATGTTGATAGAGCAGTAATGTCCAATTCCTCAGACATCCTTAATGTTACGTCTTGCTTAACCTAACAAATAGAGAAAAAATGAGTATCGACTTCAAATAAAAATGACATAAAATCAAGAATTTCCAATCATCGAACATACGGTAACTAATTTTAAAATTTGGGTAAAGCAATGGGTACTCCCAAAGTATGTAAACCAAGATGGCGGACACCGGAATGTAGTATGTGTATCAGGTTAGGGTTAGGACAGGCCTGCACAACTCAAATCACCACGAGGGCCACGAGCATAAATCCGAAGGCCCGGCGGGCCGCAAACTTTGCCGCATACATATTTCACAAGATGAACTACAAATCAAAATAATATTGTGAAACAGTTAAATTTAATGAACCACTTTCATTACTGGGGAGCTTACAAATATGAAGAATCTTATTTACTTGAGTAAAAACAAGGTACAGTATTTTTGCATATGAGATGGCAAATATGTATTTAGTGGTTCATCCACCTTGAAAACCCACCCTTCATTTTCAATATTTCTTTTTTATTAGAATTAGGTATTGCGTGTTGCAGTATAAACTGACTGTAGGAAGATATTTTACTCAGGTTCAGTTTTGTAAAATCGTCCCAGGGGTCTAGAGACGAATATTAGGGGTCGCGAAGGGAACACCAATTTTACACAAAGTTCGATATTTATTGAAACTAGTGCAAAACATAAGTTTCACGATTTCTAATATGATCGGGGTAGCGGCGCGCTTGCATAACAATGCCAGCTTTGATTGTTAGACCCGAGAAGTGGCGTGTTTCCAAATCATCCGCGGGCCACACAGAAGTATCTAGCGGGCCGCGGGCCGTATGTTGTGCAGGCCTGGGTTAGGACATACCAGGCCCCAGTGCCCGTCATCTTGGTTAACACTCTACGAAGTACCAAGCAATGGGCAACAGGCAGAACAAAGAATATGCAAAAACATAAAAGAAAAGTCTCATAGTTCTGTGTAGTGGAAATCTAAAAGTTGGCTGCATTGTTGAAGAAAATTTACCTAACAAACAGGATTCAAACATGCAACTAACATAAATATCATTTCGAATACAGCGGAGATGGATTTGTCACACCAAGAACCAATTGAGCAATTTACGAGCGAGGCGAGAACGATTGGAAATCCTGCCGAACAGACAGAAGGAATGATAGACGGTTTCGGCGACTTATCTTGTAAGTGAATGAAAGCATATTTTAAAGTACCGCTTCCGAAACCAAAATAACTTTGAATTATTTTAAATATGTTTCATTTTCATATATACCTGTATATAACAACAAAAATGTCAGATTCTAATGAACTAAAATGGTATTTCATTCATCCGGATTGATACAACATGGCATTTCTGAAAACCACAAATTTTGATTTTCGTTTAAAGTTTACATAATTGGGTTGGAATCCCATGTCCATCTTACCCAGTGCGTAATAAAGTGCAGCTACAGGCACACCAGAGTATATGTGAAAGGTAAAAGAAAGTCTCACAGTTCCCTCTAGTGAAAATTTGAAAATGATTGGTTTCGTTGTTAAAGATAAATTTTGCTAACATGCAGGATTCAAACACGAAATCTATATTTTGCGAACATTAATCTATGAATTACTATATCAAATATTATTTCCAAAGCAGATTTGCGGAGCCAAGAACAAATCAAACCAATCACGGGGGAGAGGAAGACGTTCGATGATCCCAACCAAACAGCCGTACAGAGGGAAGAGACTCATAGACAGAGACCACTGAGACTTGAACCTCTTATCTCATATCATCGTCATCCTTTCATCAAGAGTGAGTTTTGTTTCTTGTCCATTAAGGATAATTAGTTACAATTTATGCACAGTGATACCTCGGTGACTCAAAAATTTGAGTCAAACATGCCACGGTACTCCAGCAAAGCGTACCCCAGCAGTTAGCGGTTCAAGTAAGCGGGATAATACATGTTGAGAAGTTTTTGGGATCTGATGCTTTTTCTTAACTTTTTGGTCTTTGATCATGGCTCCAAAGAAAAGTAGTGATGAAGGGAAGGAGACGAGGAAAACAACTAGTTGAAAAAATAATTTATTGTGAAATACGAGAATGGTGCTAGAGTGTCTGATCTCACCCGTGGTGAAATCTACCATTTCCACTTTTGACAAATAAGGTTTAGGCCCACTTTTATTAATATTTTTCGCATTTTGGAATGTGTAAAAGCATATACCACCGTTTCTTATGGCAAAAAAATTTCGCTACTTGAACAAATCAATAGCCGAACACCAATCCCAAACAAATTATGTTCGCCTACTGAGGTATCACTGTATTTAGAATATTTTTATTCGATTGATTGTAATATCAAACATCTGACAGCCAGATAATTTCATTCAATTTTAGATACCTGTAATATATATCTGACCAACCAAAATAACATCAACCTTAATGTTTCTATTCTATGAAGTTATGTGTCACTCGATCCAACTAAGATCCAATCAATCTTGCCTTTTTTAGATTGTGGCACCAAATTTTGGAAAATACATGAACCTGATATAGAATTACAGACAATAGTTATTATATATTATTCTTAATAATCACAAAACATTTTACGGTTTCTACTATTCAATGAAAAGTCCTCAAACTTAATAACGCAAAAACTGCTGAATGTGACCGTTATCTGCATGATTAATGTTTAGTTGTTGCACAGAAGTTGTGCAATATATCATACATATAAATATATATACTTCATATTTTCAGTATCTCTCCCTGGATTCTCTAATATTGTTATTGGAAACGATGAGTTCCGGGCAGGGCAGACTCTTGCAGGTAAGTCAGTATTTATCCTACCAGTTTATTAACATTTTCACAGCCAAAAAAAATATACGAAACCATATGTACGGAATATACAGAACCATAGCCAGTTAATTTAGATAGAAAAAAATAGTTTGGATGGTTTTTAGTTACCGTATATTCCTGAAGAACAACAATATCTATAATAAACCACACATCTATAATGAACCACATTTTGTGGAATTGCCATCCAATCAATTTTTTAAACAAGTTTGTTGAAAGTAAGAATCTGAATCCTTATGTAAACTAAGAAAAGCTGTCACTGACATGCTAATATGGAGGCTATACAAGTTTATCCATATAACAAAGATGTCAAAAGACGGCTGATGTAATGGATTTGAATTATTTCAAGCAATACTGATTGAGAAATGGTTAGATGAAAAAAAATCCACAAATGTGAAATTCATGGAAAAAATTCTGCAAAAATATTTTGTTAATGTGTGCTCTGCAGTGCAAATTAGCAGCTAATGCATTGGAATTGCAACAATTTTTTTTAAAGAAACACAAGGGCAATAAATTTATAAAGACAATGGATTTTTACCCTCTCACTCCAACTGATATATTTGATTATTATTAACATGATAATTCCTGCCGGCCTTTACAAAAAATTTTGCCAACCCCTGGCATAGTCGGAGGATTCAGTCCTGAATATAAAACTGCAATGTCTATATTTTAGCATCCGGCACAAGCTCAAATGGATCAAGTCAAAACACACTAGAAAAAAAAAGAAAACTCACATACTCAGATGCAAAAAATCACAAAGGTTCAGAGCAATTCAAAGGTATGTTTATGCATTCAAATAAAACTTAGAACAAAGCAAAAAAAATTTGTTTAAACTTAGTTTGCTGTTATTTTCATGATTTACAGTGTCAAAAGTTTATTTTTTGTTAGACCATTAGACCATTTCGCTCATGTCAATAAATTTTCAAATGAAAATATGAATTCTTCGTTTTATTTTCTGTGATACAAATCACGATGCACTGAAAAAAAAATTCATTGTAGTAAGAAAAAGTCTTACAATGCATGCATAATCGTTTGAAAATCACTGAAGTATAATAATTCCAAGAAATGATGTAAACAATCATTGAAATTCACTAAACAAGGTTTCGAACCTATCTTTTACATAGTAAAGCCAATAGATAAACTGTGATATCTAATTATTTGACATTCATTCAGGCAGTCACCCAGCAAGAAACGACACATCCATTTCATGTTTTCCAGTCATCGGGGGGAATCCTGAGCCAGTCGACAATCAAGCTGCACCAGAAAGAGTAAGTAAATACAGATTAAATTTGGTGTCAATGTTATGAATGCCATACAATCTTAAGAAAATCAGTCGATGCAACTTTGATTTTAATTAAACATACCCTAAAAAGTCTTTCATATACTGAAGTTTATGAAGGGGGCTGTTGTTCTTGTTCGTGTGCACATCAGCTTGGGCAAGCCATGTAAATACATTTAAAAAATTCACTTCCTTCAAACAAACCTCCTAATTCTTATTAATTTCAGGATGAAACAAGACAAAACACTTCAAGTGCAAACGCCAACATCATCCATGGAAAAGAACAATCATCTACTGAAGATTCAGATTTGACAAAATTGAAGGAAAATCTATGGTACAATAAAAACAAAAGATTATGCCATAGAAAACCAATATACTATGGGATTCACAAGGTCGGGAATGAGAAACATAAAGTCGTTATAAAATTCATTCCATATGAAGACAACATGGATCCAATAGAGCTGAATGCAATGGCAAAACTGCAACACCCCAATATAGTCAGATACAGGGACAGCGGGTTAACCCCTCTTGGAAATCACTGCTTTATAGTAATGGAATGTTGTAATGAAAAAACATTAGAGCAAACCGCAAAAGAAAATCTGACTTGGGACAAGAGAAAGACTATAATGCTGCAAATTGCTCATGGCCTACGTTACATGCACACTAAATACAATATGCAACACAGAGACATAAAACCGGCAAACATTCTACAATCAATCTGTGGTAAACACTTTAAACTGGCTGATTTCGGGTTCAACAAAGAAATATTGGAAAGTTCCAACGCACTCACCCCAGGGCATGTGGCGACAAGAGGTTACAGAACACCAGAGTCCTATCTTGACGAACCACTCCTAACCAACCGATCTGACATATACCAGTTGGGCCTAAATTTTTTTTACATCTTATCCAAAGGTCGGCATATTTTAGGACCAGTAAGTGATTCCTTGCCGCATTATGCTATAAGGAACAAATTGTCAGTCAAGAAGAAAAGCCTGGAGATCATTGACGGCCCGGATCGCGAACTTGCAAAACACCTGATGTTGTCTATGACGAGAGGAAATCCATATACTAAAACCTTGGAAGAAAAGGATTATACCAAACTAAGAAATGAACATCAAAAATACAGGGTCACGATGACACATGCAGAAAGGAATTTCGACAACATGCCCAGACCTTCTGCAGAAGAAGTCCTGTGCCATCCACTCTTTTGGAGCTCCGAAAGAAAGTTTGACTTCATCCAGAATTTGTCAAGGTCACTTAAATTTAGCAAGCAAAAGTTCGAAGATTACAAATTATTGACTAAATACAACATGACGATGTGGAAGAAAGCATTAGATGGGGGTAATGAAACACCTACCCGACTTGCTGAAATAACTAAGAAGATGGACAGTAACTGCTGTATGCTCGAAATTTTAGGCCACGTTGAAGAATCAGAGGAGAAAGGAGAAATTAGGACTGAAATCATGCAGTTTGTAGAAAAGAAATTTCCATGTTTCATTCTCGATGCCTATTTGATTGCCCAAGAAAAAAGTCTTGTCAGAGATAGCTTTTTTAAAGAAACTGCTCGAAATCCATCGGAAAACTATCATTAGTCTTAATTTTAATCTTGATTCGAGCACTGCAGTATGAAAATTTCAATCCAGAACTCTCATTCAGTTCCTCCAATTATAGAATTATGCGGATAACATTTCCATCAAACATTGAATTTAATAATCAGCGGATGGTGTCTCCTGCTACCGTACAGCACAGTTTTCAGATTTCAAGAATACAGTAGCTGAATAGCCCCCACATGGAAAGACATTAATAATGACATTGAGTGCAAACCCCCCTTTACGGGACCGTCTGACCCCAAACAGGCACTGCGCAATATACCTATTTTGATACAGTCAGACAGTTGTACCTGTACCGTACCTACCATAAAAGCGCCTAACTTCAGGCAACTTACTTTAATCAATAACTCGACCGTTTACTGTCCAAACATCGCCATAATTAGTCGGTAGAACATTCATGCGGTACTTAACATTCCCTGCAAATTTCGGATGAAATGCTGTAATGTAAAAACATTAGAGCAAACTGACAAACAAAACCTGACTTGGGACGAGATGAAGAAGATAATGTTACAGCTTGCTCATGGCCTACATTACATGCACACTGAATACAAAATGCAACACAGAGACATAAAACCGACAAACATTCTACAATCAATCTGTGGTAAACACTTCAAATTGGCGGATTTCGGGTTCAACAAGGAAATATTGGAAAGTTCCAATGCACTGACTCCAGAGCATGTAGGGACAAGAGGTTACAGAACACCAGAGTCCCATCTTGAAGAACCTTGCCTAACCAACTGATTCGACATATACCAGTTGGGCCTAATTTTTTTTTACATCTTATCAACAGGTTGTCATCTTTTTGGGCAAGTAAGTGCATCCTGGGAGCAATATACTTTAAAAACAAATTGTCCGTCTAGAAGAAAGTAATTGAAAGTCTAATTGACGGCCCGGATCGAAAACTCGCAAAACACTTGATCTTGTCGATGGCAAGAGGAAATCCATAGAGCAAAACCTTGAAACAGAATGATTATATAAAATTGAGAGAGGAACATTACAAATGCAGGGGCAAGATGACACCAAAACAAAGGATTTTAGACAACATGCCCAGACCTTACGTACAAGAAGTGCTGTGCCATCCACTTTTTTGGAGCTCCGAAAGAAAGTTTGACTTTATTAGACATTTGTCAAAGTCACTTAAAACTAGCAAGCAAAAGTTCGAAGATTCCAAATTATTGACTAAATACAACATGACGATGTGGAAGAAAGCATTAGATGGGGGGATTGAAACACCTACCCAACTTACTGAAATAACTATGGACATGGACAGTAACTGCTGTATGCTCAAAATTTTAGGCCGCGTTGAAGAATCAGTGCAGGATGAAGAAATCAGGAGTAAAATCATGCGATTTGTAGAAAACAAATTTCCAGGTTTCATTCTTGATGCTTATTTGATTGCCAAAGAAAAAAGTCTTGTCAAAAATAGTTTTTTCGAAGAAACTGCTCGAAATCCATCGGAAAACTAACATTAGAGTCTTATTTTTAATCTTGATTCGAGCACTGCAGTATGAAAATTTCAATCCAGAACTCTCATTCAGTTCCTCCAATTATAGAATTATGCGGATAACATTTCCATCAAACATTGAATTTAATAATCAGCGGATGGTGTCTCCTGCTACCGTACAGCAGTTTTCAGATTTCAAGAATACAGTAGCTGAATAGCCCCCACATGGAAAGACATTAATAATGACATTGAGTGCAAACCCCCCTTTACGAGACCGTCTGACCCCAAACGGGCACTGCGCAATATACCGGTATTGATACAGTCAGACAGTGGTACCTGTACCGTACCTACCATAAAAGCGCCTAACTTCAGGCAACTTACTTTCATCAATAACTCGACCATTTACTGTCCAAACATCGCCATAATTAGTCGGTAGAACATTCATGCGGTACTTAACATTCCCTGCAAATTTCGGATGAAATGCTGTAATGTAAAAACATTAGAGCAAACTGACAAACAAAACCTGACTTGGGACGAGATGAAGAAGATAATGTTACAGCTTGCTCATGGCCTACATTACATGCACACTGAATACAAAATGCAACACAGAGACATAAAACCGGCAAACATTCTACAATCAATCTGTGGTAAACACTTCAAATTGGCGGATTTCGGGTTCAACAAGGAAATATTGGAAAGTTCCAATGCACTGACTCCAGAGCATGTAGGGACAAGAGGTTACAGAACACCAGAGTCCCATCTTGAAGAACCTTGCCTAACCAACTGATTCGACATATACCAGTTGGGCCTAATTTTTTTTTACATCTTATCAAAAGGTTGTCATCTTTTTGGGCAAGTAAGTGCATCCTGGGAGCAATATACTTTAAAAACAAATTGTCAGTCTAGAAGAAAGTAATTGAAAGTCTAATTGACCGCCCGGATCGAAAACTCGCAAAACACTTGATCTTGTCGATGGCAAGAGGAAATCCATAGAGCAAAACCTTGAAACAGAATGATTATATAAAATTGAGAGAGGAACATTACAAATGCAGGGGCAAGATGACACCAAAACAAAGGATTTTAGACAACATGCCCAGACCTTACGTACAAGAAGTGCTGTGCCATCCACTTTTTTGGAGCTCCGAAAGAAAGTTTGACTTTATTAGACATTTGTCAAAGTCACTTAAAACTAGCAAGCAAAAGTTCGAAGATTCCAAATTATTGACCAAATACAACATGACGATGTGGATGGAAGCATTAAATCGGGGTATTGAAACACCTACCCAACTTACTGAAATAACTATGGACATGGACAGCAACTGCTGTATGCTCGAAATTTTAGGTCGCGTTGAAGAATCAGAGCAGGATGAAGAAATCAGGAGTAAAATCATGCGATTTGTAGAAAACAAATTTCCAGGTTTCATTCTCGATGCTTATTTGATTGCCCAAGCAAAGAGTGTCGTCAGAAGTACTTTTTTCAAAGAAACTGCTAGAAATCCATCGGAAAACTAACATTACTTGATTCGAGCACTGCAGTATGAAAATTTCAATTCAGCACTCTGTTCAGTTTCAGCGGATAACATTTCCATCAAACAATAAATTTAATAATCAGCGGTTGGTGTCTCCTGCTAGGCTGCTGCTACCAGCACACGTTTCAGATTTCAAGAATCCGAATAGCCCCCACATTGAAAGACATTAATTATAACATTGAGTGCAAACCCCCCTTTTACGAGACAGTCTGACCCCCAGATCGGCAAACAGTCACTGCGCAATATATCGGTACCGGTATACCGATACCAGCCAAAACAAAAAAAAATATTCTGCAGATTTAGGCATGACTCACCTTAACTTAGAGCATTGTTTCACAGTTTCCCGGCATATTTTCCTCAAATGTTAAAAATCGACATTCTGACATTTGTCCTTAAATCTGGTCCTAACAGGCACGTAGTTCAGTAGGTGCGGTACCGGTACCAGTCCACGATTCCTTACAAAGTCACAGTGCACTGTCAGGGTGACGGACAACTCACTCGACTACAGAGAGGCCTGGTGAGTTGTCCGTCTTTTCGCATTTTCTACGACGGTGTTTTAGAATTATAGAAATGTAATTTTGATATTTTTAGAGCTGAAATGTTGAGAAAAATACATAAATATTCTCTAGAAAGCATTTTTATTTGTATAAGTGGCTTATTTTGCTCATGTTATATGAATACAAATACAGTCTACAGACGAAATTGGAGTAACGTTAGCGAAGTTAGACTGTTAACTTATAGTACTGTGTAAGTTTAAATTTTTGAACTTTATTGGAATTGTTTTGAATGAGCACCTTTAAATATATTAAAACCTTAAAGTTATTGGTGTATGGTTTTTGATTAAGATTGTTTTATTTGAAAAAAAAATCACGAACTAGTGGATACTAATACCGTGTGCGTGAATGTATATTGTTTGTTTAATGCAATATTGTTTTATTTTCTGTAAATTCAATGAAAAATCAAGCCCCCTACCCCTTTCCGTAGAATATTCCACACCCTTTGTTGCTTTCAGTAGACTATCAGTACAACTGCACACATCAAATCACATTTAAATTGTTATAGGCCTATCTGCTTCTGGAAATCACCAACAATGTGTCTCTGTTCTAAACCGATAATTCATTTTGTCGCAATCCCCACATCTATAACTAAGAATCAAATGTACATTTTTGCCTTAATTTTTTTGGTAGCATCTTTGTATTATTTAATCAATTCTCTGTCTATGATGACATGCCATAACTATCCAAGCGTAGCTTTGCAAAAATTAAAAAAAAATTAAACTTCGATGTTCGCTTTGGCGCAAGAATTAGTAATGCTGGTGACATAGGCCTAGGTAGAATCTATGCAAAGATAACTAGTTGAAAGACTGCATCGAAATAGTGACGCCGCCAAAAATATGTTGCGTTGTTTAAAACTGTTTCAGTCATTTCCAGCGTAATAGGGTCTGTATTCTCAGTACTCAGGGATCGCTTCCAACTGTAGATAAAAACTATACAAATATAGTTTTAACGTCAAAATTAACACTTTTAAAAAATATTCAGCCATCCCTAGCAAACTTTCATTCCGCGCTATAAGCGCTAAATTTGGAGTGGCTGTTTAGCGCCCACAGGCGGGATATTTCTTAGATGGTCGATCTGTTATAGTATGCTTATTTTCATCACTCCAATGCAAAAAGACACGTACAAGTTGTTGGTGTCGTCAGTTATTATGTGTATAACGAATAGGGTACCGTCTGTACGTCAGGAGAGTACGAGTGTACGAACGAGCGAAGGGACGACAGCACATTTTTCTAAACAAAACAAACGAACAATATTTAGGTACAATAACAGTTAATGTGCCGACAAGAAGCAAGTCAACAATTGAAATCTATAACTTTACGTAAAATTACGCAAATTAGAACTGATCTCAAATAAACCTGCACAGATCCAACTCATTGAAATAACAGTTATGGCTGTTATATCTTTATAACAAGTAATGAATACAGACTCATTACAAAACTGCACGCGATTTATTTGGACATCCTTCCGTCAACTTAGTTCAGAACAAAAGACCTCTAAACAGAGGAAAAACAACTTACGGCACTAGACAGCATTGTGACGTAACAATATAGCACACAAGCAGATAGAGTAGTAAACAAGCTATGGTAGTAAGCTCAACATAATATATAACAATGGCTAATCACGTGCAAGGGTATTATAAAGTCACTATTTTTTTTATTTTATTTTTTTATGAATTCCCAATCAGTAAAATAGGTGAAGGTATGTACCACTAGCGCCTCTAATGGCGAATAAAATATGTATTGAAACGAAAGTGCCATTGAGTAGAAAATATATTAAAAAATGCTGATCGATCTGCCAATACTGTATATTGTATTGAAGATGTACTCTGTAAAATCTCAAGAAAAAGAACATAGAGGTTAGTCAGATTAACAATGTTATCGAACAGAATGTCGACGAACTTGACATTCAAGTTCTAGACATACCAAGGAAATTTCAGGATAAAAACGACACACTATATGAAAAAGATGGCATTCACATAAACGCAGAAGTTTCAAGCCCTTCATAAAAGCCAAAAACAGCATTTTGGGGGATAAAAGTAGACAGTGATGTGCACAAGATGGTATCGGTAACTTCATGAAAATATACCTTCTTGTTACCCGGACTCAAATGGAAATAGCAAGCAATTCAAATAGTCGTCAGTAATCATACAAGGCATGAAATATATTCAACTCGGTTTGTATAGGGCTTTTAACATCCTGGATTATGCTGCTTGTACCTGCCATGGTTCGGAGTGCAAGTCTCGTGTTAAATATAAATTTGTCGCCTACCTTGAAGTTATAGTCTGACCAATGACATTAAACAACATGATAGGCAACTCTGACGTCACTCCATAAGACTACATGCGAAAGATTGTATTTCATGATACGCTCCAATGCACATATTTCTCGTAGCCTTTCGCGACCGTTTTCCGCTCGCTTTTGCTACCCGGCGTCTTCTTTACGTGTAGTGCCTGCCTTTTTGCGCCTGTAACGAAAGAAAATATTCTCTATATCTAAGAAGTTTTGCTCACTTGGAAAGCTGGAATGGCAGACAAGCTGTAAAGAGTAATTCTGGACATCATAGACGTTTTTTTTTATCAGAGAAGATTACAAACGCGATAGCGTAAAGATTTTGTGGAACATTTTGCAGATAATGACAATGTTAAAAGTTAGTAATTTTAATGTTTGCGCTTAAACATTGAAATTTCATTTAAAGAGAGTGTCATACAAAACAGCAAAACTGTTTTTACTTCTCTTAACGGTGCTGTGATACAATTCCATAACACTAGTTTGCACCTATCGAACTTGCTTTAGTAGGTTAATTTATTAGACATAATTACATATTTAGTTAACCGTAGGTAACATTGCTGGTACATAATGCCTCGTAGATAGGTTTGTGTCTAAATGTAGGAATTTGGTTCATAGCCCACTAATTAATATCTTCTATGCGGGAGGTTGCAGGGCTGATTCAACTTGCAGCCTTACCGATCATCTGACGATGCTCATTTAGTTTGGCTCGAGTAAGTCTTCTTGAAAGACTTGTATGAATGGAAACTACCTATATGTTTTGCCTTCCTCCGATTTTAGAAGACAAATTTATTCTGAGGGATTTGGCATATAATTCTCATTGAATGTTGGCTGTTTATGATTCCTATTAATTGTGAATTCTGATTATAACAAAGAGTTTTACGGGCACCTTTTTCTTGTCAATACTCCAAGCTGAGGTAATAAACAAGACAATACTGTACATTTATGTCTTCTGGAAGCAAAATATGCACACTAATTAAAAGTTTGACCGTAAATATATACTACTACGGTTTGACACATTGAGATAATACATCATGACAGAAAATACAAGTTAAAGATATGTTTGACCATCACATGATAATTAAAATTAAAAAAAAATTAATAGGGGCTGTGGAGTATGAAAAGTTCAAGACAAAGAAAAGAACAAAAGTTCATAGCTCACGAACTCTCAATTTTGCCTCCATTGCTTTGTGAAGGCCAATATATTCCGAGTGGCTGAATTGGTTTACCTTTATGATAGCAACGATTTTGTATTTATGTAGCGAGATTTTTTTCAATTTAATTGAAGTGATATTATTTCCCAAAGCAATGCTTGAATTGTCTAGAATAGATCAGTGGTGTCAAACGCATGGGTTTTCGAGAGCCGCATTGCATTTTGGAAATTGTAAAAAGGGCCGAAAACACTTTTTGATAATGTATACTTGGAAGATATGTTTTTCAATAGTTTTAATTTGTGACATATATTGTGATGCAACTAAACAGTTGATTAAGTTTTATTATTTTCTTTAATTTCAAATGCAATTACATATTAATATTTGCATTCCACTATTATTGCAAGTTACTGTATTTATTACAAAAAATCATAAAATTCTTTATACAACCATCAAAATCATTTTTGAACAAGCTTTGGATAAGGAAAGAATAATACATACACTAAAAATGACTTAATCTAAATATATGGACTTAAAATTAACAAAAATACTACAGTATAAACTCAATGTTTTTTTAATTACATTTGTCCTGACGTTTGGCATCTCTTTGTGTCACCAGCATACTAAGGCCAGGCTGAAATGATTTTATGGTACCAACTCTAACTAACGAGGTCATGGGTTAATCTGGAACTTTGCGAATGTTTAATTAATTCCAGTAATGCAAAAAAGTTACTTTTATCATTTCATGAATAGATCAGTAGAAAAACAAATGACAGATATTTTCGACAAGACATTTCGCGCCACATTGCATAGTATAGGATTGCTTGAATTATTATTGATATTGATTTTTAGTAACTAAGTCGTTGTATATTTATATTAATATACAAACACATGGAAATTTTCTGTTCGAAGTTGGTCTTCGAAATTGTCATATTGACTGCTGAGCTTATTGTGTTTTTCATTGTACTGATGGAAATATGACAAGTTAAACAATGTGCTTCAAAATTTTGGGAAATGCAGAAATATTGCAACTCCCATTTTCTTCGAAAATGCCACCTTCTTCATGTACTTTGCGTTTAATTTATTCACTCAAGTGTTTTATTCAAGTATTCTTTTGCTAGCTTGATGTGTATTCTTAATTGGGTCAAAATGTGAACAAAAAAAAAATTAATTTTCCAAAACTACTTTCAGTAAATTGCTTTCTGTGTGAATATTCAATTTCACTTTAAAAAGGTTGAAAAATCTATTACACTTAGATAAAAAAAAAACTCCAAAATACTATTACAATTATTGTTAAGCGTTCGAGGGCCTCACTGGAAGTTCTCTGAGGCCGCGAGTTTGATATCCCTGGTCTAGATTGAAGTTGTCCAAAATATATAACAGTATTTTATCATGAATCATGATTATACCCTTTCCTGAATTTCTTCTTTAGTACTACCAAAAGTTAATGAATCAAATATAACACAGGTGTAGTGAGTGACCCATAATCTTCATTTTCCAAAGCTGTTTTAAGTATGTCTGGCATAATTTGTGCCTTTTTACAAAGAAGACCGCTTATGCAATCTTACGCTTCGGAATTTTTAGTTATTTTCCTCAAGCCCTGCGGGATGTAGGGGCCATACACAACTCTACCGGAGGTTCATATGTCTTTGCATGCCTCCATAGGTTGTTC